AACTACCGTTTATGATTTTTTTTTTTTAATTTTTTAATAAGTTTATGGTTTAGTTGTCCATTTAATTTTTTTTAATTTTAAAAAACAATTATTTCACTTGCGTTGTGTAATGTATGCGTTTCAAGTTTATTATTAAATTAGACAAAATCTGTTATTTTTACACTTTATTTTTTAGTACGAGAGGATTGAGTACAACTCGTAATATTTGAGGAATGTGACGTACAATACACCCTAAATTCAAGAAAACTTGGCCTATAATATACAGGTTAACTGTCACAAGAATGAAGTGGGCGAGCATGCTGTGAGTCCTACAGGCAGGCTACAATTAAAGGAAGAATGCATTTGATCAAATGCATTAAAATAAGGAAAGAAATCCAGCTTTGAGAATAATAGCACACCTACTATTTTCCTAAACTATAACTCACTCTCTCTCTCTCTCTCTCCAAAGTCGAAAACATTATTATTATTATTTTTTTCAAATACCACAGAACATAATACAGATAAATAAGCCAGCCTCAAAAGATTCCCATATCCAAACACCAAGATAGCAAAAACCTCACCAACAATATATAAATCCAGCACAATGAGCAAGGTAAATCTACAAATATAATAGTGAACACACAGAGGTTAATTAATTTTATTTCGAAATATAATTTTTCGAATTCAATTTTTTGGGTTAATTAAAGTTCAAATATAATAGATTCGAATAATTACGTACACATGTGAAAAAAATTATCAATAAATAATATTCTTCTTAAATTTTTACGAATTATTACTATTTATTACAATCACAGTTATTATCACATAGTTGGTAGGACTGAGTGAAGCTTATTATACTCTTTTGGATTAACACAAGGGAAGAAAGAAGAGTTTATAGAAGAGATTGATAAGTGTAAGGTCGCTATATTGGGTTGCCGCAAGAGGAAGCTAAATTTCTAGACAGAATCCTCCTACTTCCTCATGACACTGACTCTGTTACAAGCTCGGAAGCCGATGGATCAACGTCTCAAACTCCGGTGACCGGCTGAATTCCAAATAAATTAAATGAAGCACAAACAAGAAGCTACTCTCACCTCCCTCCCCGCCCTTTGACCATTAACAATGCAGTCAGCAAGAAAATTATTTTACCTCCTCGTCTCTCTAGTTCTCTCTCTTCCTGCCACCGCCCACATCCCCGTCTCCGCTACTGACTGGTCGCCGGAACCACCTCCAGTGAACCTACTTTTCCCCTCCGACGCTGACGCTATTCTATCGTTTAAATTCAAAGCCGACTTAGACAACAAACTTCTCTACACACACAACGAGCCATTCGATTACTGTTCATGGCAAGGCGTCAAGTGCGTCCAAGGCCGAGTTTTCCGTTTCGTCCTACAAAGCTTTGGCCTCCGGGGAACCTTCCCCGCCGGCACGTTGACTCGTCTCGACCAGCTCCGAGTCCTGTGTCTGAACCACAACTCACTCACCGGTCCGATTCCCGACTTTTCCTCACTCGTCAACCTCGAAACACTCTTCCTCGATCACAACTCTTTTTCTGGAACTTTCCCTCTCTCTTTCCTTTTTCTTCACCGTCTCCGAGCTCTCGATCTCTCTCGCAACAACTTCACTGGTCCGCTCCCTTTGAACCTAACGGTTTTGGACCGGCTCAACTATCTCCGGCTCGACTCAAACCGGTTCAATGACACAATTCCTCCTCTCAACCAATCTTTTCTCCAAGTCTTCAATGTGTCTAACAACGACCTTACCGGACCAATACCAGTGACGTCGACTCTGTCACACTTCGACATGTCTCCGTTTACCGATAACCCCAACGTGTGTGGTAAGATTATCAACAAACCATGCCGTTCTTCGCCTTTCTCCGAATCGCCGTCAAGTGCCGCTTCGCCACCTGAGCAGCTAAATCAAAATTCACAGGGACAATTGGCGGCCCTCTCTCCTTCGATTTCAAAAACTCACAAGAGAATCGGTATAATTCTAGGGCTTGTTATCGGAGTTGTAATTCTAATAGCAGGAATTCTTAGTCTTTTTGCATTGCTCAAGAATCGAAGATATCAGTTTGATTCAAAATCAACAATGTATAAAGTAAATACAAATGCTATAAACACCACAACACAATATGTGAATACAGAGTTAGACGGTAAAGAGAAACAACCACAAGTACCTCAATTCCAGGAGAAGATCGGAAACTTTGTGTTTTGTGCCGGTGAGAGGCAACTGTATACTCTCGAGCAGCTAATGAAGGCTTCGGCGGAGTTGCTAGGAAGAGGAACGATTGGGTCTACATATAAGGCGGTGATGGATTATCAACTGATTGTGTGTGTCAAAAGGCTCGATGCTGGTAAGACTAAGATAACGAGTGGAGAGAGGTTTGAAAGGCACATGGAAGGTGTTGGAGGGCTTCGGCATCCGAATTTGGTGGCGGTTAGGGCTTATTTTCAGGCCAAACAAGAGAAGTTGATTATATATGACTATCAGGCTAATGGTAGTCTCTTCAATCTCCTTCATGGTGAGCTCTTTTTCTCTCTTTTACAACATCTACATTTTCTTTCTTGTTCATTTTGAATCAATGTTTCAGCTCCGAGTCAATATACTAAATGTACACTAGGATAGCATTGTCACATTCTAATATAAAGTGAGTCATGGGGAGCTGCTTTTTTTTGGGGCGCGATAAATGTCATGGGGAGCGTTTTGGTAGTGTGACAGATTATGCAAATTAGATAAGCACGTATGTTGTCCTCAATCGGACATAAGAGCTCTTCTCAAATTACACAATAGAAACACATAGAAAGGACACCCAAGAAAGGTCAGACGAACTCTTATCTTACACTTGAGTTTTTAGAGTAAGTTGTTATTTAACGAAGCAAAAAGTGGCTGAGACATCTGCAGTTAATTCACGATAAATGATCTACTATTGATGTAAATTGAGAAAAATGTATCATAGATGGCCTACAAATCCATATTTAGGCTGGTAAATCATTCTCTGATATTGTAGGTTTATCATTGATTTATAAATATGGACAGGTTCGAGATCAGCAAGGACAAAACCTCTGCACTGGACATCATGCTTGAAGATAGCAGAAGATGTGGCTATGGGCCTAGTGTTCATCCACCAAAAATCAAAACTCATCCATGGCAACCTCAAATCCACCAATGTACTCCTTGGTCCTGACTTTGAGGCCTGTCTCGCAGACTATTGCCTCGCCATCCTCGCAGATTCAACTTCGAACGATGATCCTGATTTAGTAGGCTATAAAGCCCCCGAGATACGCAAGTCCAACCGCCAGGCCACTTTTAAGTCGGATGTCTATGCCTTTGGCATCCTCTTGCTAGAGATATTGACGGGTAAACCTCCATCCCAGCATCCAATCCTCGAGCCCAGTGATCTTCCAAATTGGGTCAGAGCAACGAGGGAAGATGATAGTGAGGACATTAACTGTCTCGGACTGCTGGTCGAGGTAGCTGGTATTTGTAGTTCGACCTCACCGGAACAGAGGCCGGCAATGTGGCAAGTGTTGAAGATGATAGAGGAGAAAGTTAAGCGGTGCATATAGTAAATACTCATAAGTAATTTTCTGTTTTGCATATATGTGTCCAATGGGACTATATATTTGAATTTAATCACATTGGCTAAAGCTTAAGGACTTCATCATGGCGGATAATTGGTCTTTTACAAGGCTCAGCAGATTTGCTATGTCTGCAATGTTCTATAGAATTCAAGACACTCTCACTCAAATTAATGTGTGCATTAAGATTGTTGTTTTAAAAGTACTTATTCGAATTTTGATAAAAAAACGTATTCAGTGTACAAGATTTTTGTCATTGTGGAGTTTGGAGAAGATTAAATATAAATAGTATTACCTTATCAAGTGGAGGTTGTTTTTGTGAATTGAACCTGTAACTTTTAAATTACAATAAAACAATTTTATCGTTGCGTCAAGACCTGTCATCTTTAATGAAATTTTATTACTTAACAAAAAATAAATAAACTTTTGGTAAATTTTCACTATAGTTATTTTGGCTATAACGAAGCAAGCTTTAAAAATCAAAAAAGCATTTAATAAATTCCACTTCAACTAGACCTATCAATATATCAAATTTGAATATCTTTTCGTGAACGGAAATAGAATTTTACTTTGTTTCAAATCCTATTGAAACATCTCACGGACATTTGATGTGAATTACTTAATTAAAGTGTAATATATGAATTTCATCAAATAATTAGTTAACTTTATCATAGAGCTATATAACTAATTCGAAATTGATCACAATTTTGAGATCAAAATACAATTTAATTGACAAATCTAACTCCAAGAAATCACCTATCGGACTTTTAAATGGATGGACTAATGGACTAATGGGCTTGAGCTACCTTGACAATGGGTAATATAATCTCTCCATTTCAAAAGAAATGTTTCTTCGAGCTAAAAAAATTTCCTTAATTTGTTGAATTAAAATAAATTATTGTCATTAAATTGACTGTGGGTCTCAGAAATTAATGGGTCCCACTACCAACCAATGAACAAGATAACAAATCAGCTTAATAATTTAAGGTCAAATAATATTATTAATTTAAAAAATTCATTTCTTCTCTAAAGGTTCAATAATCCACTACTACAAGTCCACATTCGGCAGGTCAATGAGTTGCAAGCCCAGGGGCTAGACCTGGCAGCCCAAAACCAAGGCCCGCCAAGAAGAAGCAAAAGTCGCAATCAACCAACCGATTTTCACGTGACAAATTGGCGTGGTTTTCACGCCAGCGTACAATAATGTACGTAGTAACCTATGATCCAATCTGGACCGTAGCCTCGCAAATTGGTAGAAATTTCATTCTTGTTTGGTGGATGAAGAAATTAATTCTGTACGAGTAGAGAATAATTAATTTGCTAAATCGCCATAGCCGACGATCACATCACCTTCAGAAACAGCCGAGAAGAAGACCAAAGGCTGCTCTGCCATTTTCTTCTCCTTTTCAACATTCTTTGAGAGAGAAACAACACACAGCCATGTCTGGAGGTATCGCTCGAGGCCGTCTAGCCGAGGAGCGCAAAGCCTGGCGCAAGAATCACCCCCATGTTCTCTCTCTCTCTCTCTCTCTCTATGTACATATAATTTGTTGATATCTTCAGACTGTATAGTGTAGGCTGTACGATTGTTTTTGTAAATTTGTTGTTTTATTTGTTAAAATTTGATCTCTAGGGTTTTGTCGCTAAGCCAGAGAGTCTTCCTGATGGTTCAGTGAATCTGATGGTGTGGCAGTGCACCATCCCTGGTAAGGCAGGGGTAAGTACTCATTTACTGTGCGAAACTCTTGATGTTCTTTCTGTTTTGCTTGTTTTCTGTGGAGTTTTTTTTAACTATATTTGTACTCTTAGTTGTGATTGTTATCTTGGGTTATCCATGTTGTTTTCTGGACATTATTATCAATTGGTGTGATTAAGATTGCAGTTGCTTAGCGATCGGGCATATTTGAACATCTAAGTGTGATAGGTTTTACTGCAGTCCTCTGTACATTTGTTTTATTCAGATTCGTGAGTTTAATGAGGGCCCTACGATCAAATTGGGGATTTTTTCTTGGCAATGTTATGTTCACTGGAAAAAAAAACAAAAACAAAAGGGATAATTGGGCAAATGAGATAAGTTTGTGAGGTAATGGAAAGCCTTAACATTTTAATTTTTCTGGATAGTGTATGTATCACGTGATAGAATGGCTTATTTATCACTATATTCTGCTCAATAGTCAACGGAAAATTGGACACCTACTGTATCAGAATTATTTATCACTATTTTTGTTAATATTTGTACTTCCCACTATAGAGATAAGTGTACCCACACTTAGATGATGTAGAAGAAGATTTATACATGAATATTGTACATGGTTGTAGCTCTTGGTGTCCAAGACTAATACTAATGAGATCCTAGGTTTGCTAAAAGGCGTCTATGTAATGGGTGGAGAATATTATTTGGTTAAGATTCTAAAAGTACCACTCAGGTACAAATATTGTAATCACCAGACATTTACAGACTTGTGAATGATGAGTTGCTGTCCTGAAGATGTGCAGAACGTTGAAGCAAATTATTTTATGGGACTTAACTACAACAATCTTTAAGCGCATAATATGCAATCCACTATATAGTGCAAATATGTATCGATGTACCACAAACTTTAAGAGTGAAGTTAACTGTTTGCCACAGCTGTCAAAAATATGTATGTAGAGCCACTAGGCATTAAGACAAACCAAGGACCATGTATGAAGTTAAATCAGCGGGAAGTGAATACATGTTTTACTGGTATAGGATCAGTGAAGGCAGTGAGAACAGATGTATCCAACTGTTTTTCAATATATAGGGGAGCATAATGTTGAAACAGAATTTTAAAGGCTACGGGCCGTATGGCTGAGGCCGATTCTTATTTATATTGCTTTATGTAGTCCTGTGATTGCTAGTTGTAAGTCTGACTGATGGTTTAGTGAGGCAATTGGTTTTGCATGACAGTGCTGTTATACTATGGAAGTACCAATTAGTATGCTAGGATGATTTTATATGCACATTCGTTGGTTTGCTGGATCTATGTAAGTTTGTAGAAGTTAAGGCCGTGTTTGGTGATGATCTGCAAAACAGTTTTTTTTTTCTCAAAATTTTAAAAACACTAAAAACCTGTTTGTTTAGCATTTTGAAAAAAATGAGATTTGGAACACAAAAACAGAAAACAAACCAAACTTATTTTCTGGGTTTTATTTGGAAATTGTGAAAACACGGAAAATACAGGAACCCCAGTTACTGTGCACTTATTGTACCACTATAAAAGCATTTTTTTTTTCACTCTCTCTCTTGCCGACACTATGGATTTGTCTTCAACCTATAGATCCGGTGACTGGAAGCACAAATTCGGCGATTGAAAGCACAGATCTTTTGGTGTTGGTTGTGGGTGTTGGGTGGTTCTCGGTGTGAGTTGGTGGTGGTGGTGGTTGTGGGTGTTGGGTGGTTTCTCGGTTTGGGTGGTGGTCTTGGTGGTAGGTGGTGGGTGGTTCTCGGTGTGGGTTGGTGGTGGTTGTGGGTTGGTGGGGTTGTGGTGGTGGTGGTGGTTATGGTTGTGGGTTGGTGGTGGTTGTAGATGTTGGGTGGTTCTCGGTTGAGGTGGTGGTATTGATGCACAGTGAAAGAGAGAGAGAGAGAGAGAGTGGTGGTCTTGATGCACAGTGAAAGAGAGAGTTGAAGAGAGGTGGGAATTGTGGATTATTATCTAAACAAATTTTATAATTTTTGTTCTTTAAAATTATTTTCAAAAATATATAACCAAACAGGTTTTGTAATTTAAGAATTTTTAAAATCACTTTCTTAAAACTATTTTCAAAAATAGTTTTCAGATACTATTTTTTAAGATGCAAATCAAACAGGCCATAAGTTTTGTTCTTGTATTTTGGCTATGAAATTTCTAAATCATATTCTGACGTGCATGATGAGTTTTGATCATGGACTAAGGTTTCATATGCTTTACTATCTTTGGATGGGGTTTCATTTGCTTTACTATCTTTGGATGGCATGTAGATGTTGATTGGGACAATTAGAATGGAATTTTCTCAAACATTTGTTTGCTTTAATTTGTTTTATTTGTAGTATAATCTTAATTTATTGATATTTTATTGCTTCTGGGCATGTTTATGAGAACTCTGTACTGTTGTTTAATCCATGTCTTCATGCCTTCATGATTTCATTTTCATTTTAAACCAAAACTGAGGTTCGATGGAAGACGTGAAAAAAAAAATCGGAGCCATTTCTCTTGAATTATTATCCTGTTTGCTATTGTGATTTGGTTAGCATGGACATTTTATACAAGTAATGGTTGCAGACTGACTGGGATGGTGGCTACTATCCCCTTACACTCCACTTTAGTGAAGACTACCCAAGCAAACCGCCAAAGTGCAAATTTCCCCCTGGATTTTTCCACCCTAATGTCT